AAACAGTTTGATGTACTTGCACAGATATTTTGGATGACACATTTTTGAAGTTAATTCCTAGAAGCACATAGAAATTGCAAAGTCAGTGTGATATACTCTAGATCTCCATCTCCAGGGATTTCTTTGGAGATGCACACTCAGCTTTTATGCTTTACGGTAGCAGTCAAATAAAAGTGTATTGAAAGTTAGAAGGCCTGGAGTTGGGCTTAAAAGCATTTTATAAATCTACAACACTTATATTATTAGACCACAAGCACAATTTGAGAGTTCACTCAGACATTTATAAGACTTGACTGAGCTCTAAACGCACCCTGCAAATCCAATCTACATCCAGTTATAGCTAAATGAGTACTTAGCCCATGATAACCTGGTGTCTTCTGTCCAAGTCAAGAAAAATAAATGGCCTCCTTTGCAGTTGTTTTTCCTTATTGGAGTCATTTTGGATATGGCTTTTCACTCACTTAACTGACTCATTGTTCATATATATATGAATTTATACACACAGTGAATAGATGTGCAACTGATAAGAAATATTGCCTAATAGATCTAGTTTTGCAAGATGCTGAGTGAAAGAAATGGTGGAACAAAATATTTATTCTCAAGAGAAACCAGCTATAAAGCAATTAAACAAGTTAATATAATGAATATTAATATTATCAAATAGAAAATTCAAGGACCAACATAAATATCATTGCAACAAATAAATTCTAGGCTAAGAAGAGAAGACTGCTCTGGGCTGCTGTGAGCCAGGGAGGGACCTTCTTCTAAGAACTGGCTGCTGAGAGGGGTTTGCTGGTTGAGCGCAAGTTCAGTCTGTGGCGACGAGGCTATGTCAGGGAAGTTCTTCATGCGAGCAATGTCAAGAAAGCAAAGGACACATCCGATTTTACAGACGCGGAAGCATAGGAAAGCATTAGGGAACATGTTTGGGAAGACAGGTTCAAATTATAGATTTTATTCTGCAGATAAAGAGCAGTGAGGCAGAGATTTATTAGTTGATGCCAATACCAATTTCCCTCTATTCTGTAGTAGCAGAACCTTCTGGCTTAATTCACAAATGCCCAAAACTGTATGTAACCCTTTGCACGGAGTCCCAAGTGGGGCTGCACAGCTGTACAGTGAAAGTGCTTCAGGGTGTGTCCTGAAAGGGGAGAGGCATCCCTCCTCTTCTCTAACTTCCCCTTTATCCACCATGCTGCCTAAAATGCGGAAGTCGTACGTTACTTGGGCTCATGGGATCTGGCACACCGCAGTACAGCTGACTGGCAGGAGACAAGGAAACAGCCTCAGCACGGTCAGGCTGCCATAGTTAGGGTAACTCACATGTTGTTTTCTGAAATATAAATTCATTTCTATTTTGTTTCATCTATTTTACTTTCAGGACTCTAACAGGACTCTAATTGCTTAACTCTAAAGCTCTACGGGCTGAGCTTTTGCTTTCTTAGAGTCCTCGTGGGAGGCAGGCAATTCTTCCGAAGGCGAGTGCCTCTGGAGCTCCTTTACCTGACCGTGCTGTGTAAATGACAAACACACTGAGTTGCAAAGCTCTGTCTGGCTTAAAACAGGGAATCCTTCAAAGTGTTTGAGTAAAGAAAGGTGACAGGATAAGAAGTGAGATTTACAAGAATTAATCTGAATGAATAGAGCAGATCCACGTTGACTGAAGCTTGGAATGGGAATTGCAGGATTTACAAGAGAAAATAAAAACAGAAGTTTTTGAAGTAATAAAAATGTTCTTTATCTAGATTGTAGTTGTTGTCACCAGAGTCTGTGTGTGTACATATATATGAATATATCGTGTATATACTTATCAAAACAATAAAGCTGATTAAAGAAATTAATTTGTTTTGTGTGTTAGTACAAATATACCAGTGGGAGACCAGAGATGGAGAGAAGAAAGAGCAATGTATGGCTTCAGTCAAACCTTAAGACATTTGGGCAGGAGTGTTACTTTGAAGGAAGCGGTTGTAAATGTGACTACCAGTTTGACCTGGAGATACTGATTCACACATAAGAGAATTCAGCTTTTCTATGTAAGGGATCAGCTGAGCCTCACCATGTGTGTTACCAAGTGGGATGGGAGAAATAAGGGTGCTCATATGTACTAGTTATATCTGTCTGAGTCTTTTTATTTGTAAAATGGGACCTCTGATGTCTACAAATTGCAAAGGAGTTGTGAAGAGCAGAGAAATATGCACAAAGCACCCTGCACGGTGTGTCTATCATCTAACAGGAACCCGTGAATGCGTAAGAGAAAGATCGCTTGCAATTAACGTGTTAAACTAAGAAAGAAAGGAGCTTTCAAGAAGATACCAAAGATTTTCCTAAACATGTTTGTAGGAAATGCCTGGAGGTGAGGAAGCTAACTCAGCTCACTGGAAAGGTGAATTCACTTTTAAATTGCAGGATGATACTGAGAAGAGGGGTTAGATGAAGCAGGATAGCAGCTGGCAGTATTTTTTTAAACAGGTTGCTCCTTTCGCCATGAAAGATTTAGTAGTGCACTCATTTGTCACTTTTTTTGGTTTTTTAAAAACATTTTTACCTTATTGGTCCATTTTAGATACACCTGATAATATTCATCACAGGGAATTTGTACGCGTATATGATACATCTTGCTTTTTTTCAGCCCCTTCCCCACTCCTTCAGCCCCTCTTCCCCTCCTCGTTTACAAAAGCTTTGCTTCCATTTTTCCCTTTTATTCATTTGTCACTCCTTTACCACTTTGACTCATTTGTACGAGTGGGAGTTCAGACAAAAGAAACTTTTGAAGTATCCTGCTTAAGAGTCGTTTCCTATGAAATCTGGTTCTCGGCCCATTTTCTGTCAGGCTTCCTGAGATGGGAATACAACATATAAAAATTCTCAACCTCCACAGTGAATTCTCTGGAGCTCCAGCCTGAAATTTACAGCTGCCTGTAGACATCTCCATCTGTATGTCCTGCAGGCATCTCTAACTCAGTAGATCCCAGACCAAATTAATTACCCTCCCACATGCTCATTCTGCTCCAGCCTTCTATCTAGATCAATGCCAGCGCCACTTTCCGCAGAATAAAATCTGGAGGTTTCAGTTCTTTTACTTTTTGTCCCTTATTCTTCAAGGTCAGTATATTGTCGATTTTTGTGCATTCAGCCTGTAGGGATTTGTCTTATGCACTCTGTTTTTTGACTCCCACTGTCCTGCTGGGGATCTTTCTCTCTTCAGGAATAAAGAGCAGTTTATCCAGTCTCCCACGACGGCTCACAGCCTTGGACCGCACAAGTTCTCCATTCTTGTAGACTACAGGAAAAGACAGCGGCCCCTGGGGAGCCGTGCAAAGGGCACACCTGTTTCCCTGTGCCCAAATTCCTACTTGGCTAATCTAGTGAAATGTCTGAAGCAATCATTTTTTCTGCAGACACTCCCCACCAAACCTGCAGAATGAATCCTCAAACCCAAACTTCCTCCATTTCCTTTCCGTGGTGTTTTTCGGTGTTCTGCCAACTCCACTGAAGCACAATCCCTGTCCCTAAAACAGTGTTTTAACCTTAGAGTCCTAGCTCATGGGATGTTCTTCATAAATTAGCTTAATCTCTACTTCTCCTCTTGACCCCACTTGAAGGCCATTTCCTCGGTGTAATGCCTTACTTCCACTTTCCTCCAGCTCCTCTTCTTAAGAACAGCCCTATTCACGGCATGTTTCTTTGTTTATTTTTCCTGTGGCTATCACAACTGTCTCTAACTCACATTTTACAGGGCTTAAGAACAGGCATCATCTCTAATTGCCAGCTCTGCGTCTCCAGGGCACTTTGAATTGTCTGTTAAGGAGCCTAAAAATATCTCCTTACATTTTTACTGTAAAAAATGGTGATTTTTACTGTAAAAAAGCTTTAAAAATTCCCAAATAGTTACAATTTGATTGCAATACACCCAAACATCAAACTCCCTCAGCTCTCCAGCATTAAGTACACTTTTTAAACTTCCTCGCAGTTTTATTATTCCAGGTGTGTTAGTACCGTAAGAGGCCTTTGTGAACCACTGCTATAAATATCATTTGTCCCCATTAAGCAAATGTATTATACACAGATGACTGTCTAAATTTATGTTCACTATTCTAGAGTAGTAAATCAGATGATATATCAAGATATCTAGTCTAAAATGTATAAATCAACTTTATAATTTAAGAACTTTTTTATACTAAGATGCTTATCTTTCCAACTGTGAGACACATTAAAAGATAGCCAATGAACTTAGTTATATAAGGAATTCAAATAAAACTCGTAACCATCTCAGTTATTTGACTTTGTAGGTAGAATTATAGTGGACTGAAGAAATTACAAAAGGGATTATTTTTGATTGAGCAAGTAATTTACTCAATTCTCATTTAAATCTATGGAACACTAAAATCTGGTAGGTAATTTCAAGTTGAAATATTGCATTTATTAGACTCATTTTAGCTCTTCTTTTTTTAAATAGACAAATGCTTGCTCTGTTGTCCAGACTGGCCTTGAATTCCTGGGCTCAAGCCACCCCCTCTTGCCTCAGTCCTCAGGAAGCTGGAATTAGAGGCATGTACCACCATGCCCAGCTAGATCTATGTTCCTTTAAAAATTACTGATAACAAATTGTGATGGAAAAAATGCATATTTTTACATCTTATCAAACTACATTATCATTTAGCTGAAACACAAGCTTGAAAAACAAACCAGCATCTTTTTGTCTCTTCTCAGTGGAAACACTTGCATAGAGTGCTTCTAGTCATCCTTTCTCACGTTTTTCTCCCCTCCCTAACTTTTTAAGTGGTAAAGGTATCAGTTAATTAGAATTTAGAATGTCTTAAATTTTAAGACAGTGACTCTCAACAGGGCAATACTATGAGAAAATGAAGGGGAGAAGGAGGCATGTACCTTTAGAAAAGCCTGCTCAGCTGGTTCTGATGAGCATCTTCTGTTTCCCGCACAATCAGAAATTAAGACTTAACAGCGTGAAACCCAGTTGTATAAAAAATAGGCACAAATTATTACTCTCTAGAAAATATTTATTGACACTTGTTTTAATTCTCTTTCCATAATCTGAGAAATAAACATGATACACAAAATACAGTAAAATGCACTCTTCCCATTTCAAATAAATATTATTTCACTTTTGTAAAAAATTTAATATGCATAATTTGCCACAGCATATGAATTAGTGAGATATAGCGAAGATAATCGCTAAACTGTCACTTTAATGATTCTCACAAGCATTTGTCTTAAGACAAAGAATACTACTCATTGTAGAACTACACTGACTGGGAAACTGTTGCTTCTTTTTTAAAAAGGCAAAGATAAGTTCTTTTAAGAAGTGTTTATTTTTAAAAAATTGTTCATGGGCTTCGTGTGGGAGAAAACAGCATCCATGTGCTGGCTGAATCAACTGAGACCCGTGTACATTTTCTTGTCACTGCTTCCTAAAGACCAGACTGCAGTCCGACTTCTAATGATTTCTATGTATCAGACTGGTAATTTTCAAAATCAGTGGCTAAGTATTTAAATGAAGAGTTATGAATGTAATGTAGACCCAAGACTGAATTTAAAAGCTCTGTTAATGGGAAAGGCTAACACAATGGTTCTACACAGAACAAATTTATCCTTTTCACAATTGTTATTCTTAACCTTATGAGAAACCAAAGCTACTCAATTATACAGACTTAGCCCAGACATATACACATACATCCCTAATTAGTTTAAGACAATGTGTTAGTTTGCTCTTGTAAGTGGTAAGAATATTTTAGTAACCAGAAAAAAATCACATTTAGGTCATCACCAATTTTGAAAGTGTTCATAATGTATAATCTAGTCACCCTCGAAAGAATATATCAAGAAATTAAAGTCATTAGTACTAACTTCCTATGTTAATGGTTAATTGATAATTTTATACTAGCCTGTGGAAGTAAATCAACCTTTACCATAGTTCCAATCCCACTATATGTGGCTCACTTACATAGATGCAGAAATGGTGATCAAATCATGCCAACTCCAACATAACTGTATTCAGCAAAAGCCTTGCACAGGCTATAAAGTGGGTATTAGATCTGTCCCAGCATTATAAATGACAACAATTATTGTCCAGGTGGTGACATATGAAACTTTCCTCTCTTTAAAGAGTACAAAATTATATGTCTACATATCATTTTATGGCAGTATTTTTAAGTCTATAAAGTTTTGAAACATATAACTGTTACTCAAAAATTCACAAGTCCAATAAAACAAGTTTGTAGTTTCCTTCTTTGACAATCTTTATAATTCTTCCATCTCAAAGTGTGTATTAAAGCTGTTTGCCATGGATGTATGTTCAAAGATCCTTGAAAGGCTTGGTTTCAAAAGTTCGACTGAGTGACATGAAAGGTGCTGAGAATTGTCATTTTTCAGGGACATTATTTGGTCTGTCCCAGGTTCTCTTCTATCATAATACAGAGCCCAGAGAAGCGTAATAGTGAGAATCATGGCCAGGATTTGTGTCACTCCAATGGAGATCCCTAGAAACCTAAGTACTTGCAGTTGTTTGGTTCCTCTCAAAAAGGAGTACATTTTCTTCCCACAACCCTGTAAAAGAAACAGCATGATCAATATTACTGTATGTTACAGTAGTTCAAAAATAGTGAAAACAACATTTTGTGTCAGTTAATTAGAATAATACATTTTAAGACAGTGACTCCCAACAGGGCAATATTATGAGAAAATGGAGGTGAGAAGGAGGCATGTACCTTTAGAAAAGCCTGCTTAGCTGGTTTTGATAGCATCTTTTGTTTCCCGCACAACCTGAAATTAAGACTTAACAGTGTGAAACCCAATGTCTAGACCAGAGGGGCTAGCAACATCTTTTTTTTTTTTATAAAGAACCAGAGAATAAGTAGTTTAGGTTTACAGGTTATATGACCTCTGCAGCAACTACTTATTTCTGTCACTATAATATAAAAGCAACCATATACAGTATGTAAATGAATGGCAGTACGTGTATGCCAATGAAATGTCCACGCACACCCAAAGGCACTGGGCCAGAGCTGGCTCACAGGCCATGGACTGCTGACTCCTGATAGAATCTGATCCAAACATATTTAAAAAAGGTTTTACTATTATTATTAAGTTCCCCCTCTTTATTAGTATGTTTGTGATACATAGTGAATAGAGTCACTGTAGGGAATTGAATATATATATATATATATATAAATCCTTTTACTGTTGAATTATAGCTCATTTGGTCAAAAACTTTCCCCAAGGATCAGGAGCCTTTTCTCTGCTGCTGAAACATGCTGACAGGTAAAAATTTACCCTGATCCCAGCCCACCGCCTACAGCAGAAATACATGTAGGAAAGTTATGTCATGACCCAGCTTCTACTTTTACCAGGTAGTGATCTGAAAAGTATCTTCAGGCCCTACACAGATCAGAGACACTTGTCTTTAAAAATTCGCAAGCTTTTTGTTTGTATCTGAAGAACAAATTTTGCAGGAATCCTATGACAGACCCAGAAGAGAATTCTGAAGGAAGATAAGAGGTTGGAAAACGTAGGGGAAGGAAAACTCATGACAAAGAACTAGAGCAGAGGAGCAAAGACAAGGAGATAGGTGGAGACTGACAACTGCAGTAGGTCACCCTTCTGAGTGACCAGAGCACAGCTGCCTATTTCCAGTGACCAGTACCTCAGGTGACCGTACTCCGTGCCTTGTCCCTTGGGATCTACAGCAAACAAATGTAACCTACTCCTCTAAAGGGAAATTATAAATTTCTTATTGTACATTAAGGTGAAAATCTATGATACCACTCTATGAAAAACATCAAGGAACTTTGAAGATTCTGAGAGTTTACTTGGAAACAGGCCACAGCCTTGTGGATGCTGGCAGAAGGCAGGAAACAAAGGAATTTAATCCTCTAGCAATAAAAATTGTCAAGGAATATGTCATTTTCTCAAGTTTCAAGCGCACTATGAAGAAGCTCAAATGATGTATGCACACAGTGAGTTGTGCATGGGACAGGAACCCTGAGCTTAGGGGACCCAACCTTTCTTGATGGGTAATAAGCATCACTGTCTTCACATGAGAGAGGACTTTTTATTACACAGGACAGGATGAAAACCTGTATTTCCTATGAAGGAGGCACTATTCTATTTTCAAGGCTGTTTTCTTTACAGACATTCAGGAAAAGATGGTCCAGTTACTCAGTGTCTCCATCCCCAAGACAGAGAGAAATATGGGACAGCCTTAGAAAATGATCTCCCAGCAAGAACTTGACTGTGAAAGCTTTTATTCTGAGTTTCTAGTAAAAGCAACTAGCTGTTTGCCCTACAGAAGCAGCCACTTGAGTAAAAAGAAAATCGTATTTACTTAGATTACTTCTTCCTTGTTTTCTGCTCCAGGTCCTACAAGGAAATCACTAAGCCGAGAAAAACACTATGAATCAGTTGTCAACTTATCCATTTTATTGAAGGGGAGGGATGAACAATATAGAATTGTTGGATTTCTAAAAGACACTGATTGATACTGCTACCCCAGTAAGACATTACTTTAGAGAAACATAAAAATCATGTTCAACTAGTCAAAGACAATTTTTTAGCAACTTCTTTTTTTGGTAAACCATGTAATAACAACTAACAGTAAAAGAATAGCAAATATTCACCAACTTCACAAAAGTGAAATTAAAATATTTATAATTTTGTAATACTTAACATTTTACAAAAGGTCATATCTCTGCTATATTATCTAGTTGATAGATACAGAAGAAATATATACAGACAGAAATACACAAGTACTCTGTGGGAAGCCAAAAATACATATTACAGTGAACATGAATCAAAGTTCAAGTACTTTGAACTTGAATCAAAGTTCAAGTACTTTTCAAAATGTTCCACTGAGGTATTCTGTCAGACCCCATCCGCTCTTATGCGTACGTGCCTATCTAATAAACACCTTTATATGACACAGTAAAGGATAATGTTCAGATCACGCCTTGCAGATCTTGAATTCAAAGCCATGCTCTGCTATTCAGAAGCTATGTAACTTTGGGAATGTTACTTAATCTCTCCACGCTTTAGTGTTCTTATCTGAGAACTCCTGGTAACAGCACCTATCTGTTTGGGATATTGGCAAGACTTGCTGAAAAAGTACCCAAAATGATATCTAGTTTGTGACAAGAGTTCAGCAGGTACCAGCCATATCTGGTGTGTCAGCCCAAGTCAGAAAGATCAAATTAAAAATAGAAAATCTGTGACCAGCAGATACAGAAAAGTGTGAGCTTCAGCACTTTGTAAAAGTGTATGGAAAACGCCAGAAGGATAGCATTTTATCACCAGTAAATATTAATGCAACAGTCATTGCTTACAACAGCCACAGCGGCCATCACTGCTTTTCAGGATAATGAAGCCACTCTCTAAAATGAGGATCTGCCACTGAGACATGTAATCACTAGCCTCCTGATTAAAAAGAAATACTTAACTTAATTTGCAACAAGTCACCTCAAAAACAGTAAAATAAAAATGGCTTGGTGTCAGACATAAGGAAAATTGCTTTATACAGATACGTCACTTACTGCTAGGCAATGTGGAACCACAGTCTCACATCTGTCTTTCAAGAGATTGATATAAATGACTTTGAAGTATGTTTACCGATTCTTTACCTATGCTCTTAGTTTAGTGCAAAGATGGGTCACTAATGAATACAAAAGAATTCATGTGGGCAGGTCAATATTTTAGTAGTAATAATTGTAATTATAGAGTTAAACATAACCAGTTAAGGTACAAAATTTCAGCTAGTTGGGAAAAATAAATTCAAGAGATCTACTGTAAAATATTATGACTACAGATAAAAATGTATTTTTTCTTTTTCTTTTCTTTTAAAGAGAATAAAAAATAAAAATGATACACAATTTCAAAACAAGATAATAGGACATTAACAATGGTTATTATACTACATATCTTCAAAGTAGCTGCTCAGATGACCAGATATGGGAATGTAAGACTGATCAAATAATATAAACACTGATTCAAGAAATATATAAGCTGATGATTCAATGCCATAAAATGTTATCAGTCAATTATTTCATTATTACCTTTTCAATATTCTCTGGGGCTTGAATTTTGACTATATAGCTCTTTGATTTACTGGTATCTCCATTCATTTTATTTCATTTTAATTTGTAAAACTACAGGAGAGGAAATATTTCTTTTTTAAATATATGAGTAAAACAAAGCAGAAATTGATAAAAAGGTACAATCTATTGTTTGATAGTTTGGCATTATAGAACATGTATTTTTATTTTTTATACAATCATATTTATTTCTTAAAAGGTACAGTAAATTATATTATCTGCAATGGTTTGGGAATAAGATATATTACTTAATATCAAATACTATAAAGTGAGAAGGGACCTTGGAAGTCAGTGGGTTGAACTTTCTATTTCTTAAAAGCATGATTAGAAAGCACTTTTGGGATGACAGCCAACGGTTATAATAAAGGCTTCTGAATGGCCTCTCCATATGAGCAATGGAAAATCTCACAAAAATGTTCACTTCTTCAGAACACTGAAAATGAGAGGCTCACAGCAATCTGAGCAGCATTAATTCAAGGAAAGCACCTGCGTCTCAGGAAGAATGGCAAGCTCTGTGGCATTTTAACGTACCTGATCACATCTCTCTCCCAAGCCCTGCAGGAGTCATAACAACCACAGCCTGAATCTTGATAGCCTGGCAGGCACTGCAGAAATAAAGTGGGATGGGACCTCCTTGGAAACCCCATTCCCAATGAGAATTCCCATTCTTTATACAGTCTGGCGGGTCTCTGAAAGAGCCTTCTGACATGGCTGTCTTTATTTAACCTGACTTGGAGCTCAACCACAGAAACAACTTTCTCACCTGGGAATGTTTACTAAAGACAGTGTTACTAAAGACAATCAGAAGCAACTGTAGATTGCTGAGGCTGCTCAAGGCATCGAGTAACAGTTGCTTACTGCTGAGCTACCCTAACAGCTTCAGAAGAAGCAGCAGGGGAATGGTAAGTTCATAGTGGAATCGGCAAAGGGGATTGCACATGTGCCCAGGTTTGCGTAGATGCACAGGAAAAACCTAGGAAAGCCTTGAGATCTTATCTCCAGGTAACCCTGAGGTCCTGTGCGCCCTTGGCAAAGCCTGGGAGACTTACTGCTTCTGAACATCTAGGGAAACCTCTGCTCATTAATTAACTGACCACTGCACTACCACAGCAGTGACTTCAGTGGCCACATATGTCGAAGAACACAGACTTCACAGAATCAGTGTAGACAAATCATTGAGCAATAATAATAATGAGCAACAATAATAAAACTGGGAGACGGGATCTGATTCACAAAGTTGTCACACTGTTATTTGGAATTACAGGTGTGTGCCACATGCCTGGCCTAGCAACACAAATTCTTAGCTGTCATTTTCTTGATGGAATCTGCCTTTGTAATAGGATGCACGGTTCCAGCACAGGGGCTTTGCCCATCCCTTTTCCATAGAAGTAGGGAGTCATACCTGAAGAGTCATTACTTTCCCTTGAATCAAACTCTTCTGGCTAATTATTCCTCATTTCTTCA